GAGCGACCAAAGGGAAACCCAAGTGCCCCATGCCCAGTGAGGACGCCTCTGGCCCGAACATCTTTCCCACAAGGGGGGATGTGAATTAAAATTCAAATGATTTGGATTTTCTTCTCCAGGGATCTCAAAGGATATTGAAATCCATCAAAGAATATTGAAATCAACATAAATTACATGGGGCTAATATGTTTATATATGTTAGATGTGTGTAGTACATATAGTATATAAACATAGATAAAAATATAAATATCTAAATAGTATATGATATAGATAAATATAAACATAATCTATTACTCTGGCTAAATTGTTTGCTTTGAACCCAGCCACCCTCCATCCCCACACATTCATGGAAGATGTGTCTTTATTCATTTCCTTATTTATACATCATCTTTCTACTTACGCGTATACACAAATACATACGATCACAGACTGTTTTCATTTAAAATCATAGGAACCACAGGGACTAGTAAGAGCAAAGATGTGATGTTTGATTTGCAAATGAGGCCTAAAAACGAGGCTCACAAAGTTCAGTCCATTGCGCGGGGTCAGGGCGCGCCCAGACCCGGAGCGAGGTAGAAAGGCCACCCCCCAGCTCTGATCGGCAGTTGGCTTTGTGTTTCAGTCTAACGAGATGATGCTTCATCTGTCGGGAGCAGAAGGGAAAGGCCCAGTGCTTGGCGAACATGCTTGCGTTAATACTGGGCTACTTGAGAAGCCCAGTGGGTCAGTCACTACCTGCTTTCCATGGTAAAGAATCTCCTCTGACACTTGGCTGAAGCCGAGCCTCATGTTCCACTCCCCAGAAAACACTCACAGTGGGAGACGGCGTCCTGGGGTGCGTAGTACCATGTGGGATAGCTGGCTGTTGTGTCCCCGATGAGGCCGTGGACACACTGTAAACTGCCCTAGGGCTGCACATAGATTCTATGTTGACGTTGGGGGTGGGAAGTGGGGGAGCAGAAGGGTGATGTCTCCCACTGGCCTTGCCCACCGCCACCTACTGCCGGTGTTGTATTTCCTGGCGGTCAGAGTCCAAGCCCTCAGGCGCAAGGGCTCCTCCTGCCCCTTGCAGACACCCCCGGTCCTGGTCTCTCCCACAGGGCACTGGCCCTTCTGTCGTTCTCTCTCTCCGTGGTCTGTCAGCTGCGGAGTTAGTGACCAGCTCACATAGGGCGAATGAAGTGTCTGCAGAGGGACAGGAAGACTTGGAGATGTACGGTGGGTGTGTGGGTGTGTGTTCAACCCTGTGCGGAGCTGACGTTGCGGTGTGCTCCAGGGAGTGTATTCGTCACGGTGCGCGGGGCAGAATTTAGCATCTGGGAGGCTTCAGACTACATGGCTTTCCCATCTGAAATTGTCAGAAGAATTTTCAGCTTTGCGGCCGCGCGGTAATTACACAGACAACTATGCGGCCCTGTTTCCTAAACAAGGACCCTTTTCTTGTGAGGTTAACATCCGGAGGATGTTCTGTAAGAATTATAATTACTTTTTCCATGTTCTTAATAATAAAATGACCTTTCAGTTCTAAATAATAAAGCAGATGGTTTGAACTTGCAGATTTGGTGGGATTAACATGTAAAGGAGGTACAAACATGACCATATTCCTATAGGAGCAGCAGGAGTTTTGGGTTTGTCCTGTTCCCATGGACTGGCGCCATGTTCTGGAACCCTCGGGGGTCAGGACTGGCCGTGCGTGCTGCAGATGGGGTGGAGGGCTCCAGAGGCGGGCGGCTGCCCGGACTGGATGCATTGACCTCCGGGGCCCCGGCCTGCTGCCTCCACACCACCTAGAGTTGACCCGGTTGGATTTATCCACATGACTGCCTTCCCCGGGGCACAGGACATTGGTGATGGGAAAGCAGAGCTATTTATTTTTTTATTTTTTTATTTCTTTATTTCTAGGAGAGAGAGAGAGACAGCGTGAGCAGGGGAGGGTCAGAGAGAGAGGGAGACACAGACTCCGAAACAGGCTCCAGGCTCTGAGCTGGCAGTCAGCACAGAGCCCGACGCGGGGCTGGAACCCACGAACCGCGAGATCATGACCTAAGCAAAAGTCGGACGCTTAACCGACTAAGCCACCCAGGCGCCCCATGAACTCAGAGCTATTTCTAAAATGAAAGTAAAGATGCCAAAGACCGAGAAACAGGACTCGGCTAGCCAGCTAATGCAGGAAACTGTCCCCTTGAGTTTGGGGCTTTAACATCAGTACATTTTCTTTTAATAGCGGGCAGAAGAAGGAAGGAAGTCAATAAAATCTGGCTTCCACACCATACTCTGCCCCTCCCCCCATGTCCTCTCCCCAGCACTTCATTTTCCCTTGGGCACTATGTGTGAGAAGGAGGAAATTGCTTTGTTATTAATGAAGCCTCCCCCCCCCCCCCATTTTTCCCCTTGCCCACCCAATCCAGAGGACTCTGGCTAAAATATCTAAATTATGTCCTTTGAACTAACTAAAGGCCTTCCTTAGCTGCATTTGTCAAATGGCACGCCCACTGGAAAGTTTTGGAAGTTTCAGGTTATATCTACATACCCACAGATCAAGTTTCACATGCCTTGCCTCCTCTTATTAATGTGTGGCATTTAGTCAAAATTAGGACATTCTGGCTCAGTAGCTTTTTTTTGTTCAGGTCTTGGGGGGCAGCGGGGGAAGGGAGTGGGAGCTTTCCAGCTCCTACAAGAGCTTCGCGTGATGGGGAAGGTGCAGGGTTGAAGGAGGGGGTTCTATAAAGCAGAAAGCCTCCATGTGAGGCCGGAGCTCCCTTCTCTGAGCGTTTAAGGAAAAGAACCACCAGTAAACTCTCAGCTAAAAGCAGGCACACATCAGGATCAATGGAAGGGCCAAACGATAAACTTCTCAATAGAGACTGGATTAATAACCATTGGCTAAAATTCCAGAGATGCCTCCACCCTGCGGCTGACGGGGCAGAATAACATGCAGTGATTAGCAATAGAGGAGACTCTCCCAGAGCAGAGCCTGGGTCTCCCACTGTCGCTGAAACATTCTCCGATGACCCTTTGGGGGGAATTTGATCCACTGGGTGGTAGGAGAGACAGACAAGGGGGAAAATACCTGAGGTTTGGGGGGGGGAGGGGGCAGAGCAGTTACATCATCAAGGGGGGTGAGTTTGGGCAGTAAGATAATTAACTCTGGAACCTCTTGAGTTTGAGATACTTGCAGGGTCATTCGTGTAGAACCCTCTGGTGGGTATAAGAAATACATCCCCTGGGTCCCTACGAGGACATTGGGGTACAGATCTGGCATCAAGCATAGAAACCGTGGGGAATGCAGGGATTCTACAGGAAGAAGCAGGAAGCGAAGAGAGCACAGAACCACCCATGCATCCCCAGAGAACACAGACCTCTTACGTGTAGCCTGAAGAGGAGGCGGCGGCCCCCAGGGACTGAGCACCGACCTCGAGAGGAGTCTGGAGAGAAAGGCCTCCCGAAGCCGGAGAGCCAAGCGCTGAGGTTTGGGGTGCTTGTCCCGAGAAGCTGCACAGGGGCAGGGCTTAGGCAATTAGGAGGTTGGTGGTGGTCCTTCACAGAAGCACTTCAGGGAGTGGTGAGGACAGAATCCCAACACGGTTGGAAGAGGAGTGGTAATTAAGGCGATCGGCCACCGCCCTTTGGGCCGCTAAGAGGAAGCGGAAGGATTGAGGAATTCTGTGTCGGGGCGAAGGGGACGGGAATATAATAAAGAGAGCGCCCAGAAGCCGGTGACGACCCAGGCTGGGGGCATCGCGTATGCTCTCTGTCCCTCTATTCCCGGACAGCTGTAACTACCCAGTGGGTCTGGGTGCCGTCTCTCCCCTGATGTAACCCGTGTATCCGCTTAGAGCCAGTGGAAACCGTCATTCACTGCCTGTTGCCGGAAGCCCCGGGCCGGGGCTCTCCCTTCCGACTTGAAGCCCCCTGCCCGCATTTTTTTACCTTTTTTCTTTTTCGTGCATCCCTTTCGTTTAAGTCAGCTTCTAGCTATCCTGAACAGTTGGTCTGAAGATACTAGCCAGACTCGTTGAAAATGGTGTTTTAATTGTCTCTGGAAAATTCTCTTTCTCGTCAGTGGGTAATTTCACAGATCTGCATTAGGGCCATGGTTGGAGGGGTGTGAGCTGGACCCCCTAGGCTTAAGTTCAGGCTCTCGGTGTCTCGATAGCTAATGTTAGGCAAGCTGCGTGGTTTGTGCCTCGGTTTCTTCAGCTGTTTAATGGCAGTGATGATGGCACCCCCCTCATAAGGCCATCATGAGGGGTAAATGAACTAGTGCTTATAATGTGCTCAGCCCAGAGGACCGTGCTCAGTAACTACCCATCGTGGTGGATATTCCTTTCCTCTCTGCAGCTTAGGCTCTTGGCCTATCAACTGGCTACAGCCCAGAGCCGTTGGAAACATGAATACAGTAGACCCAAAACTCTGCTCAAAGTGCCCACCACTTGTCATTTTCCGCCCAGCGTCTGGGGCTGGGGGGAGTCTGGAACCTCCCTTCCCTGGCCCTCCCTGTACCTGGGATACCCATCCTGCCCACCTCTGCCCGCACCCTCACCCTCACCCCCCACGCGGTCTCCTGCACCTCCTCAGTCGTGTTTTTCTTTTCCCCAGGGCTTCCCACGCGGCCCTCCGTCTGCTTTAGGCTCGGGCTCTCGGGAGCAGAAATGCCGTCCGTTGGTGGTCTTCAAGCTCTTGTAGGGACACCCACGTCACCCAAGTGTGGATGGGGGAAAATACAGAATGAGACCAAATTAAAATGATGGCAAAATGGTTCTTCCCCGTCTCTTTCAAAGTACAAAGGGACTTCTTTGTCTGCAGAATGACCGGGGGGATTTCAGAGGCTCCTTCCGGGGCTAACGCTGTGTGGCGCCCAGAGAAGGGAGAGGTGTAAATAATAGGGGATTGGAAAGGAAGGCATAACTTGCTATTCTGTGATGTGAGGCCGGTACGTTTTCGGGTTATGTTTCCACTGCTGATGCTTTTGTTTCCAACCCCTTTGCCTTTGCTTTCAGGGAAGGCCGCTCGAACGCCCACATCAGAGGGGATTACCAAAGAATCGGAGATGTCCTGCTGAGGAACATTCAGGGTATGAAGGTGAGCTGCCTCAGGATGGGGCTCGGGTGGGACAGGCTCCCTGGGGAAGGGAAGGCCTGGGCTTCCATCCCCATCCATAACCACACGTGACTTCGTTTGACGACATACAGGCAACACAGCTCAGGGTGAACTCCTCTGTCTTTCCAGACAATCGTATTTGGAAGGAAAATGCAGCCACTTTGGAGGCAGTGCTTTTAGTACTTTTCCTCCTTAAAAGCTCTGTGCTGTAATCAAAACAACAGGTATTATCTGTGAATAAATCATGCAGCACTCATTTTTAAGAAGCTATGCAGACAAAACATGGTTTCGTTGACTGAACGTTGCTCTTTTCATCACTCGTTCTGGCTTCTTGTAAGTGTGACGAAAATACCGGATTTAGAGCCCAGTAGGAATTCCAATCCATCCCTATGACTTGAAGTCAGTGTACCAGGCAAGATTTCTAACCAGCCAGCGAAACCTGCAATGATACAAGCGTAAGGGTGCGCCGCCAGACATACTAAACCAATATTCTACCCCATTTTTGAAATCTGCCCCATCGCTTAGATCTGAAATTTTCATTTTTATGTCTTCATCTTCATCTATCAATGCCTTTAATACAGAATGTTTTAATTCACGCAGTTTACCTTTTTAAATACAAATACCTCTCTGTTTACATTTTAAAGCAATCTTTCTACATCTCAACTGGCCAAAAAAAGCCTCTCTAATACCTTAACTGATAACTCAGAGCAACCCCTAAAGAAGGCAGGTCACTTCTGCCACCACTGCCTCCCATCCAGCCCCGCATCCATCCATCCCTCCATCCATCCCTCTAGTACTAGCTGAGCACCCACAATGCATAAGACATTTTTGTAATAAAAGTTACTGTTGGAGTTTGAATTAATTCCCAAAGATCTTGCTAAGTTGTTTAAGGCTTTATTTTCCCCCCTTAGAATGATCCATCTCATGAAGGTAGGACAAAGGGATGTTGCCGGGGGGGGGGGGGGGGTACACAGAAAAGATAAGATCTAAAGCCACTCCAGAGATTTCCTGTTTCTCTTAACAAATCAAGATACTGCTTAACAGGCCTTGAGCTCACTTTTTTTACAATGTTCAAAAAGCAACATGGCCCTCTGGGTAAGACCAGAGAGGCACCATGAACGCTGTCAGGTTTGCAGAATCCCTTGAAATAATCACCAAGAATCATCTAAGATGTTCTACAGCCATGGTGTTTTTAAATTTTTTTTAATGTTTTATTTATTTCTGAGAGAGAGAGACAACGTGAGCAGGGGAGAGTCAGAAAGAGAGGGAGATATAGAATCTAAAACAGGCTCCAGGCTCTGAGCTAGCCATCAGCACAGAGACCAACGTAGGGCTCGAACCCACGAACCACCTGATCATGACCTGAGCCAAAGTTGGACACTTAACCGACTGAACCACCCAGGCGCCTCTTGTTTTTAATGCTTTAAGTAAGGCTGATCCACAAAACTCAGATGTAACAGTAATAGACATCCTTGTGCTTTCCATAGTATTTTTTATTAATGTCTTAAAGTAGGTTTACAGAAAAACTGAGCAGAAAGCCCATGGTGGGGGAAGGTCCCACATGCCCATTTGCACATGCGCGCGCACACATACACAGTCCCATGGTACTAACATCTTGCATGGGCATGGGATAGTTGTTATGACTGACGTGTGTTATTATTAACTAAATCCGTAGTCTCCGTTACGGTTCACTCTTGGAGTGGGACATTCTGTGAGGTTCTGCCAGATGCAGAATGCCACGTACCTGCCACGGGCCAGAGTCACCGGCCTAAAAGTCCTCCCGGCTCTGCCTTTTCATCCCTCCCCTCCCCCACCCCCTGGCCACCCCCGATCCTTTCCTGCCTGCATAGTTGTGTCTTTTCCAGAAGACGTGGAATCACACAGCGGGCAGCGGCAGCCTCGAGCCTCTGTAACACTTGTGAAAGCTGCCCTTTCTCTCTCTCTTCTGTACTACGTTTTTGTTACTGTCCCACTTCCCAGTTACCTTCCCGTGTCCGGCCTCTTTCCTTCCCCTCTGCTCCCAGCACTCCTGTCATCGGAGATGGCAGCTGACTCGGGGACGACGCGGGTCTGAACTGCGTGGGTCCATTTACACGCAGAATGTTTCTCTCTTGCTTGTGATAGTACGTGTAACACCATACATCAGTCAGCTCTTTGTGTTAACAATATGGCTTCCAGCCAACACCAGGCTATTATTAATAGTGCCGTGGGGGGGGGGGGAGGGTGTTAAAAATGAAATGCCAATTTTTAATTGCGTCGGGGAGTCAGTGCCCCCCCCCCCAGGGCTGTTCGGGGACAGCTGTATGATCCTGCCCAGGGAGGGCCCCGCCTGCACGGACTCCCTTCAAGGAGGCTTGGACTCCGCCGTGGGCCTCCAGGGCCAGCCGCTGGAGACCTGCCAGCCCGTTCCCTGCCCCCTTGGGGACAGTCCCCAGCGTTCTCCTGCTTACCGGCTGTCCTTGGTGCCTCGTCCGCGGAGAGCTGAGCGGAAGTGGGCGTCCACCCTCCCCTCTGCTCACCTAGCGCCCGAGACCTCCTGTGACATACGTCATTTTCCCTCAGAGCCGTTCTTTCTCCTTGGGCTGGTGAGTTGGCGGTACTGGCGCTGGAGTCCATGTGTGGGTGCTGTGAGCATTTGCAGCATGGCGCCCCGTGCCAGCCACGTAAAAACGGGGGGAGAGGCTCAGAGAGCCACTGGCTGCCTTTTTTAGCATTTGTTTGGGTTGCTTTTTCTTGTGGTGGTTAGAGTTGGTTTTAAAGAAATTTTATGAAGTATGAAGGAGAGCCAGCAGAAGGTTCCAGAGATTAGAAGCCCAGGAGAGCACTTTGGTCCCATATGTCCAACACACACACACACACACACACACACACACACACCACACACACACACACACACACCACACACACACACACACACACATTTTCACCAGCATTGGCAGGGGCTTAGCAGACTGGGGTGGTCCCCAGACCCTCCACTCTTGACCTTGACCGAGGGAGCTGGGCCAGCGGCTCCAGTCCCCGCCTGAAAGTCAGATAACCTGAATTATGGTCTCTAGTTCATGCTGCAAACTTCTGACTGGAGACATCTGCCCAGATGCGCAGAGGTTCTTCCAAACCCACCCAAGCTCCACCTCTCATCCAGCCCGGGATGTCCACTCGGCCCGTCGTCTCCTCAGGTGTCCCCCTCCTGCCCCATCTCCTTCAACTGCTCCCCCCCCCCCACTCCTTCTGGCTCGCAGGTGGCTCTGCGCTGGAGGACCTGCCCAGCTTCCTGGCGCTGCCCTGCCTCCCAGCGAGCCGCCCCCCATCAGCATTCACACTCCAGCCAGACTTCGGAGGCTCACAGCCCTACGCACGTCTCTCCCGTCGGGAGAATACAGTCCAAACCCAAACCTGACAAAGGCCTTCATGTTCTAGCCCTGGATGATCTTTCTAGGCCCTTCCCTATGTCCTTCACATTCTGCTATGTGCTTGACCATGAACTTGCCTCTCCAGGCACTCGGATTTTTGCAAGATTCCTGCCTTGGCTGGGTGTGTGCATGGGTTCATTTTTTTTTTTTTTTTTTTTTGAAGTAACCTCCCTACTCCGAACATGGGGCTCCAGCTCACAACCCCAAGATCGAGGGTTACATGCTGTCTGCCAACCATGCCAGCCAGGCGCCCCTCATTTGCTCATTAAGGCATGCAGGCAACAGACATTTATGGAGTACCTACTGTGTGTATCAGGCCCCGAGGATACAGGAACGTGATCAGATCAGGAACAGCGCGTGGGATAACACTGCCTGGAGCCGCACGTGTCCACACACGCACAAGGGCGTATGTAACTGTTAGAAGCCGAGTCAACTCCAGATTGTACCAGTGTCCATTTGATTTGCTGTAGTTACACGAGATGTTAGCCCTGGGAGGCTGGGTGAAGGACCTCCCTGTACATTTCTGTGCAAGCTCCTATCAATCCATATTTCAAAATAAAAATAGTCACTAAACCCAGCAGGGGCCACTACGTGATGAGGGCTGAGATGGACCAATACGGCCTAAGTACAGAAGAAGGCAGAGAAGTCCCTAACTGGCAGAGGCGGGTGTTGAGGGGGTTGCCGAAGCCGGGCAGGAGTCCTGATGGGCATGTCCTGTGCAGAGGCTCTGGGTGTGAGCCGGGCACGTTCAAGAGCAGGTTGTTCAGCAGGCTGTTCACCTGAGGTGAGGTGGTAAGAAGCACGGTGGAGGGGGATGAGGATCAAAGGCCCCGTGTGCCCTGCAGGACTCTGGAGGCGTGGAGGGGTGAGGCGTGGAGGTGGAGGTCCCGATGGAGACCCCACCACAGTGGTGGGTGACACGAAGCCAGAACCAGGGCAGTGACTGTGTGGAGTAAGACGGGAACAGGCTTGACATTTTTAGGAGGTAGAATTAGAAGGACTTGGTGAAGGATTCAGAAAAATGAGGGAATCCGGAATGTTCTCCTGGTTTTTCTGCCCTGGACAACTGGGCTGGTGGCGGCATCCATCCTGAGCTTGGAGACTCGGCGGCGGCCCCGGTTGAGGCAGGCGCTGTTGGGTTTGCGCTCACCGGATCCTGACTCTTGACAAAGCCTTCATGGAGCGTGGAAACGTAGGTGTGAGGGTGGGCGGCACACGGACGGCAGGCGCACTCCCGGGAAGGGCGTCTTGAGGACAGCCGCTCTTCTCTCGTGCCGCGTGTCCTTGTGGCCATCTCGTTACCCTTCTCGGTCTGGAAATGTCCTTCCCTTGCGCTTCTTCTCCACCTCCCGTGAGGAATTCCTCTAATGCTCTGTCCGCAGACATCTTACCGTCATTAGTCTCTACCACGAGCCATTACAGGACAGGAATATTCAAGAGCAAGTGTTAAGTATGGTAACGCAGACTTTATTCAGGACCATGGTGGCTGGGGTAGGGCCCGCTGCTGTGTGGTTTTCAGTGGGGGACAGAGACTGGGCTCAACTCTGAATACGGCGTGGGCAAGCGGGGATTTCCAGCTGGGGGCAGGGTGGGGGTCACGGATGGGAATGTACAAAGAGGAAACAGAGGGGAGAAATCAGGTTGTGGCCGAACCAACCGGACAGGATGCTTTGCTGAAGGCAGGGTGACCTGACATCACCTGGGGATGGTAAGACATGAGCAACCGAGTGTCAAGGGTGACCAGACATCTAGGGTGGGGGGTTCCAGTTAGGCTGACTGAGTAGGGTATTTGCTAAAACTGGCTTTTCCTAAGGAGGTTCACAGACCGGTCAAGGAGAAGGCTCAGGAGCCGGAAGAAAGGTTGGTCAAGGGAAGCTTCTGTGTCAGACCCCCGTAGAGTAGGCTCCGTGGGTAACCCTCACCCAGCGCTCCGAAAGCGGGCGGAGCAGGTGGCTCACGGCAGATACTCCCTTACTGAAAAGCAGAAGGGGCGAGTGTAACAGAAACGCACAGCGCTAACTGTATGACACTTATGGAGTTGGCTCTGGGCCCTTCTGACGTGTAGAAGAAAAGCACAGCCCGCACGAAGGAGCTCCTGTTTGTTCCCCTCGGTTTTGCCAGCCTCACCTCTAGTACATATACATCTCCAATGCCACTTAAACCGCATAATGCTTTCCTAGAGCTTTGTCTTTCATTCTGAGAATGTAACCGAAATAATGAAATAAACAGCGAATGGGAAAGCTAGAAGTGCGATGAAAGGAAGCCACGAAAGGCCACGGTGAGGTGCATTTCTGAGAGCCGGCCTGGGTGGAACGCGTGCGTCCTGTGTGTCGCCCCCACAGCAACTGGCGGCTCACCTGTGGAAGCACAGCGAAGCTCTGGAGGCGCTGGAGACGGGCATCAGGACCTCGCGGCGGCTGGAGAGCCTGTGCCGAGACTTCGAGCTGCAGAAAGTGTGCTACCTGCCGCTCAACACCTTCCTTCTGCGCCCGCTGCACCGGCTCATGCACTACAAGCAGGTCCTGGAGCGCCTGTGCAAGCACCACCCGCCCAGCCACGCCGACTTCAGGGACTGCAGGGGTGAGCAGGGGGCAGGGCCTGCGGGAGTGAGGGTGGGGGGCTGCCTGAGAGCCCGGGGGGGGGGGGCTCACGATCTGGGGGCGGGGGGGTGGCGCATGACGTATTTTAGCCTGGCGCGCAATGCTTTTGTTACCTCTTGGTCTTTCCGTAATGAAAGTGATAACTCCTCCTTTGCTCCTGAGTAGTTTAGTGGTTTAGTGCAAAGAACCTTGGAGAAGTTCCATTTAGCCTCAGCTCCCTGACCCCCACTAGGAAGTGTCCCTGCGTGATGGAAACCTTTGACCCTCCTTGGATCAGCTACAGAAAATGGCCGTAAGAAGTCCTTCACGTTAAGAAGCACCTCACCTGATCTCTCTCTCTCTTGTCCCTCGCTCACTCGTACATGCACTCGCGTTCGCTCGCTCTCTCTCAAAAAAAAAAAGAAGCACCTCACCTGTATTGACTTAATTTTCATGACCAACCTATAAGGCAGAGGTGAGCTCATTTTACATATGGGGGCTACTGAGACCAGAGAGGTTAAGGAAGTCCCCAGAGTCACACAGCTAGAGAGCAAGTGACTTGGAGCCTAAACCCAGAGCACATGGGCCTGACCATCCTATCCTTCTGTCATGATGATGTTACCCACTGTTGCCCACTCAGCCCTGGGCCAGGTATCTTAGTAATATTAACACCTTGACTCCTTTAACAACCAACAACTCCAGCTACAATACGTATTGTTTCCCCCACGTTATAGATGAGATGCCTGGGCCGCTGGTACCCTCACCTAAGTATTACAAACACCTCCCTTTTGCGTTCTCTTTTTCTAAATGCACCTCTTCTTGTTTGGCTTAAAACCTGATTCCCTCAGGCTGCCGTCAAAACTCTGCATGATCTGGCCCGCCACCAGCATTGAGCACCTGCTGTGTATTAGGCATGTGAAAGTGAACGACGCAGATGTGGGCACAGAGGGGAAGACACCCGGGCAGTGACTGCCCTGTGATCTGGCCCAGCCTTCGGGGCCAAGGGGGAGCTTCGTGAGGGAAAGGATATTGTGTGTTTAGAGCTAAGGTACAAACAGGAGTTGTCCTGGTTGAAAGGAGGGCGTGCAGCATGGCGTTGGGAGCAGCACGTAGAGAGCTCAGAAGAGACAGAGACTGTGGAACACCCCAGAAAGTAGAAGTTCTGTGTGGAACTCAGAGGGATGGCAGCGGAAATGAGACTCCCAAAGTGAGCAGAGACCAGGTCCCATAGGGTCTCATAAACGCCACAAGACCGCAGTCCAGGGCACAGGGAGGACAGGAAGGAAGTGGAGACTCGGGCTTGTTGCAGAAAAGTCAACCCTTGGGTACGTAGGACATGTAGAGGAATCTTACAGGTTCGTGTCTTAAAAGATAACCTCGGAGAAGTTGTGGTGAAATAATGAAGACATTGGCATTCATGGAAGGGGACAGAAATGGCTGGTGACATGGTTTTGGTTTGTCACATATAGGTCATTCGTCTTTAACACCATGGTGCTTCATGCCTCTGCACCTCCGTGTAGTCTGTTCCTTCTGCTTGGCATCACTGCTCCCCGCACAGCGCTCCTCCTCCTCCTCCTCGAAGCCTCAAGGCTGTGCCTGACCCTGGAGCTTGGGTGACCCTCTCCCCCCACCTGCCTTGGCTTATCATGTAGCAATTGCCAGGTGGCCACACCTGGACGGGAGGACTCAGAATTGTACGGCTAGTTCACGCAGAAAGGTCGGGGACGTCTTTCATTCCACATGGGCTGTCCTTGGCTGACTTGCCCAGTTGGCATTTTACTGAACAGTCCCCAGTAAAAAAAAAAAAAAAAAAAAAGTCCGTCCTTGACCGCTAAATGGAAAAAGCGTTGATAACCCAGCTAAAGACCTCAGGGGCGTCATCGTGAAAAGGCTGGTGAAATGTATTTACGACTCATGAGGGATGGGGTTGTGCCCAGTTCCCGAGATGCCTCCCCTGAGCACCCAGAGACCAGGGTGCCACCTTTGCCCTCCGAGAGCCGCCTCAGTCCCGCCCTGCTAAGCCTTCCGTGCCCAGTAACTGTTTATTGGACCAAGTTGGCCAGTAATGCCTGAAGCCTGAGCAAGCCCTGGGTTTTGTCACCAAGCCTGGGACAGGGCACCCTGTGATAAGCAGCAAGAATTTAATTTGCGTCCCCAGGGAGAAAGTAAGGCTCGCTTCCCTTCCCGAGTCCAAGTGCTGGGGACGAGCAGGAGTTTAGTGTTCTGAAGACTGGCGTTCCGTGGACAAGTATTTGTTGACAAAAATCCCCGAATGCTCAGCTACTGTGGATTTACGTGTCACCCAATTCGTCCTAAGGGGACACGAGCCCTTTCCCATCTCAGATGCCCCCAGTGCAGAGAAGACGCTCCCATGAGTGTGAAATCATGCTTCCTCTGCAGTCATGCTTCACAAGCATCTCGGCAAACAGTGTGATTTCTGCAGAAGCAAGGACTGGGGAATGTGCTGGAATGTTAGTGGCCCAGAAGTGTCCCGCTTATCAAGGAGATGCTCTCACAGAAAGATCCCGTCTTCCCCAGATTTCTCTGTGGCCTCCCTATGCCCTCCATCCTTTCCAGGTAACAGGAAGGGGCTAGAAACTTCTGCCCTGAGGGAAAATTCTAGTTCGTATTCCACTGTGATTCCCTCCGTGCCAGCGAGTGATTCCAGTGGGAAGACAGCCGTCCGCCACGTAGCTGCGAACGGGCCATTTTCATTCTCAGAATGCTTTGGGGAAATGCAAGCAAATCAATTCGTGTTGCAAATTTTTATTTGTTAGAAATTGTTATTAGAAATAGCAGTGTTTTTCCCTAAGAGGGCGGCCTCTCTCTTAGGTCAGCTACTGCCCTGGAGGGCTGGTACTGGGGAAAACAGACCCTCGTCGGCCATTAACGCTGCCGTTTCCGGTCCTGTCCCCTTTGTTAGCTGCCCTCGCAGAGATCACTGAAATGGTGGTACAGCTTCACGGTACGATGATCAAGATGGAGAATTTCCAGAAGCTGCATGAACTCAAGAAAGACTTGATTGGCATCGACAATCTTGTGATTCCGGGAAGGGTAAGTAAGGCTGTTAGAGGCGAAGCCAGAAAGGCAATTGTTTAAGTGACTTAAATTTGAACCTTTTGAATACGGACTCTCCACTTTAAGATCTCCTCCTTCTGAGTGAAGTGGCTTCCTTCCTGCCGCAAGACTATTGGGACAGTGCCTTGAACCTTACGGTGGACTGTCCTGTGTTAGAGGAGATAAAGCCAGGCTTTGACCTCCTATTCTGCTTTTTCTCCTTCCTGGTTGATTTGCTAATTTACGTTTTCCCTACCGTATTCTCAGAAGATTAGAGACCTCTCATTTTATTTTCTTTTAAGTTAGGTAAATGTAAACGGAAGCCAAGGAAAAACACTTTTTTAAAACAATCAGGTAGAATGGTGCTACAAAGGCAGAGGAAATCGTGCACGAAAGCACGTAAGTTCCAGACGTATGAAAAGAATTTTTAAAAGATGCAATCTTCTGTATATAATATATATTTTTAAAATTTTTTTATGTTTATTTTTGAGAGGAAGCATGAGGAGGGGAGAGGCAGAGAGAGGGGGAGACACAGAATCCGAAGCAGGCTCCCGGCTCTGAGCTGTCCGCACAGAGCCCGACACGGGGCTCAAACCCACGAACTGTGAGATCATGATCTGAGCCGAAGTCAGGCGCCCCAATATAATTTTAATTCAGGGTTAAAATAACATTTTAGCCAGAACGTGATTCTAGGAGAGAGGCTCATTCACTTAGGCCGTTGACCCTCCCCCGCCAGCACCCCCCCCCCCCCCCNTCCACCAGTGAGGCGGGGCCTCGGGACCTGGGTCGGGGGGAGCCTAATGAGGAGACTGACTGGAAAACCCTTTGTGAAAGGAGGGGAGAAGAGGCGTATGTAGTAAATGGCGGGTGCACATGAAAGCCGGGATTTCCTTGGGCTCAGCCGGTGAGACGGGCCAGGCGTCAGCACACAACAGGCACTTTTACCCGCCCTCGAGGAAGGACGCCTTAGTAAAGGCCACTGGAATCAGTATGATTTTCTCTTAACTTTGTGCCAAAATATATAGCCAGGGTGCCTGGGGGGTTCCGTCGGTTAAGCGTCCGGCTCCGGCTCAGGTCATGATCTCGCATTCGTGGGTTCGAGCCCCACATCGGGCTCTGTGCTGACCGCTCAGGGCCTGGAGCCTGCTTCAGATTCCGTGTCTCCCTCTCTCTCTGCTCCTCTGCTGCTCGCATCTGTCTCTTTCTCTCAAAAGTAAGTAAACATTCAAAAAGATTTTTTAATAGATAAGTAAAGAGAGCTCATTATTACTTATACAGGTAATTTATAAGTAATATATTACTACCGTCCATATTCTCTGTTCATCCAGCAGCCTCAAGTCAAGGCTGAGTGACATGGGAAGGAGGGAGTCACAGGCCTTGAGGGGAACAAGTTCTGGAATGCTCTATCCCATATGCCTGAGCTACCCAAGTATCATTCGTTTAAATTCTCAAATAACCTAACAGGTGGGAGGGGCGCTCTGGTTTGTCTCTGGGCAGAATTTTGAAAACTGAGACTTGAAGGTGAGCACCCAACTTGGGAGCCGCCCCCTGGGCTCCGTGGGTGTCATTCCTACCATGGTCCCCAGGCTAGTCCCGCTCACCCTCCCACCGGGTCAGCCTGAGACCGCACCCCGTCCTGGAGGGCAGGGATTTTCCCCGAGCCAGCCCCCCACGCCAACCCCCACACCAGGGTGTTGGTCCATAGGACCCTGGGCCTGTGGGCAGCCTGCCCGGTCAGAGCAGCAGGGGCTGGAGGGGTGGGGGGAGCTCCGTGTGGTTAAAACTCAGAGGTGCGGACTGGATTTCCCTCCAGAAGGAAGCAGCTCGCTCTTAAGGACACGAGGGACCTTTTCCCCTCCGTCTTCTGTGGTTTAAACTCAGAGGCCCGAGACCTGTTCCGTCTCCAGCCCCAGACACTGACGGCCAAGCCCCAACCCTTCAGCTTCCTGTCGCTGAGCCCAGCCTCACGTGCGATGTGCGCCCTTGTCGTCTCTGCGGGGAGTGTCGCAGGCCACCCTGTGTCCCACACAGAAAACAGCCGAGCTCCCTCAGATTTGTTGGGAGACGCGAGCGTTCCAGATGTGCGACGGGAGGGCAGCTCAGGGCCCCATCCCGTCCTTGCCACCTTTCAGTGATGACGGGGGGCCCCCAGACATCACCCCCTTGTGTCGCCTCGTTGATCTCCGACGGCATCCATCCCGAGGGCCCGCAAGGATGTATTACCTGTTCCTTTGTTGGTCCCCAAAACACATCCATTAAATTGTGGGCACAGTCTTTGGTTCACATTTTATAAAATAACAGCATCGAATCAGGGCGTGCAGAAGTGTGCAGGATCCAAATGAGTTGGCTGAGTCCTTGGCCGAGTAGCGGCCGAGCTGAGACACCTGCGGGCAGGTGCCCTGGGATCTGCTGCTGCGTCACAAACCACTCCAGGACTTGGTGGCCAGAAACAGCTCTTCAGCACACCTCATGGTTTTGTGAGTCAGGAATCGGACAGGGCTCCGCCACGTGACTCTTCTGCTCCCTGCGGCGCTGATGGGGTCCCCGATGGGCTAGTCTCGAGGGTCCAAGGCGGACACCTGGCAGGGACGGCTGGCGGCTCAGCGGGCTCCAGGATGCCCGTCCACGAGAGGCCTTGCAGACAGACCCTGCGTTCAGCGTGGTCTCTTCTGTGTGCAGCTCAGGGGTTCCCAGCGACAAAGCGGAAGCCACGTGTGGTTTTATGACCTAGTCTTGGAAGTCACGTGGTGTCCGTTCCACGCTCTGTTGGTCCAATCAGTCACTGGCCCACCATACCCAAGGGAAGGGGATGGAGCCCCCGCCTCTGTGGGAGGAGGTGAAAAATGTTAACAGACCTGCAGCCGCGGTTTGGAAGCAGCGCTGTGGAGAACAGCCAGGCGCCTCCTTAATAAGGCAGCCACAGCACCTCCCCATGACCCCGCCCTCCCACCCCTCCGTATACACCCAGAACTGCACACAGGCGTTCAGACAAACACTTGAACGTGAATGTCCATCATCCATCCGGTGAGCGGGTAAACACGTCATAAATCCATACGACGCGACGGCCCCAGGAAGGAGGGAAGTTCTGGCGCGTACTACCGTGTGGCCGGAACTTGAAGACCGGAGAAGTGAATGAAGCCAGACGCCCAAAAGGTCACATATGACAAGACTCACTTCACGTGAAATATCCAAATAGACAGATCCATAAAGAAAACTGATCGGCGGGAGTCAGGTGCCAGGGAAATTGGACAGTGGCCACTTAATGCGCACAGTGTTTCCTTTTGGGTGATGAAAATTTCCCCGCAGATGTGTTCTCTGAACGCATAAAAGTCACAAATGGTAAATTTTAAGTGTATTTTATCACAGTTTGAAAACTGATAGTTTTAAACCAAGTTTACAATGAAGAAAAAAAAATTTAAAAGTTTAAAAAACAAAACCTGATAGTTTTGGGGGTGTTTTAAGAGCCCCAAATGTCACATGCCCTCCAGGGTTTAATAGTCTGGGAGGAGAAATTCCTGAGACACGTTTGCCGCTTCTCACCGGTCCTAGAGCACAGTTCACTTGTTCCTAAGAACCAGAGCTGTGAGTCATGGAGCGTGTTCTCTGTCCCTTCCTCTCCTGTGGCTGTCTCCCCAGCCCCCTGCCGCCACTCTGCGGCCCCTGTCCCCTCCCCTGTTACAGCTGGAAACCCGCGGGGCCTGGGGGCCTGGGGATTAAGCACAGTCCCAGGCTCCCCGAGGGGCCCACTGAGCCCTGCTTTCTCTCTGAGTGGAACTGACCATGGTCTCTGCCGGGTGGGCTCCTGGGAAGGGCAGGAGCTTAGCATGGCATTCGGCAAACAGTCACCACGATCGCTACAGTTTGCGCCGGGACAGGGACCCCCGCACGAGGCAGCCAGTCTCTGCGGGGACGCGGTGTGCGGGCGCCCAGCCAACCCCCGGGGTCTGTTTCGTCCGCAGGAATTCATTCGCCTGGGCAGCCTCAGCAAGCTCTCCGGCAAGGGCCTGCAGCAGCGCATGTTCTTCCTGGTGAGTGTGCTGACCGCTGGCGGTCTGCACGGCGACGGGTGAGCCCCGGGGCCCCTGGAAGGTGGGGGGGGGGGGGGGGAGCAGCCGGCGCTGCTCAGCCTGCGGTTTGCCGAGCCCGATGAGCCACCGCGCGAGGTTCCGAAAACCTGCTTTGGGCGCGTGCTGTTCAGTGGAGTCCGTCCGCCCCATCCGCGCTTCTCCTTGCCCCTCCAGTTCAACGACGTCCTGCTGTACACGAGCAGGGGGCTGACGGCCTCGAATCAGTTTAAAGTCCACGGGCAGCTCCCGCTCTACGGCATGACCGTGAGTATGCGCCGTGGGCATGAGATTGGGGCCCCTCCCCGTGGGCGGCCTGCACTTTGCAGGCCCAATAACGGGAGCGGGCGCCGGGAGGAAGGCACCTCGGGCTCCACTCGGGCTCCCCAGGAGGGGTCGGGACCTGGTGCGCCCTGCATGCGGAACGTGTGGGTGCATTCCTTCTAGAATCAAGTGAGGAAGCGCGCTGATGTCGCCATGAGGTCTCAATCGGTCTTTTACTTCCTCTTGCCTGGGGCCAGGGGCCCCGAAAGACCACCCTCCCATCCACATGCGAAGGCAGAGCCCACCCCCAGATTAAGGAGCCAGCCGTCTCTCCCCAGAGCTATGCCGGCGGACAGGTCTCCATGCCCTGCGACCCCGGCTGGCAGATGCAGACAGGATGCCAGTCCCCCCAGGACTGTTTCCCTGACTTAAACTCTCACTCCCCTCAGTGGTTGGGGAGAAGAAAGTGTGTATGGGCTCTGCCCCCCCCTCCCAAAAAGAAAAAAAAGTTTCAATGCGCTTGACTTTGCTTGTGGCTTTCTGCTTGTGATTTTTCCGACTCGGTTCCTCTGAGCCGTAGCCAGTGTAGTGAACGTTTGTAAACGCGCCGCGTGTCTGCCCGGCCTCTTGGCCGTGACATTCTGCACGCTCGTCCCACAGATAGAGGAAAGCGAAGACGAGTGGGGGGTCCCGCACTGCCTGACCCTGCGGGGCCAGCGACAGTCCATCGTCGTGGCGGCCAGGTAACTCCTGACCTCTCCCCTGCTCCCCCCCCCGCCCCCCCCCCCCCCCCCCTGAAGACCTGACGCCTGCGTCTTGCTCAGCTCTAGATCCGAGATGGAAAAGTGGGTTGAGGATATACAAATGGCCATCGACTTGGCAGAGAAGAGCAGCGGCCCCACCCCCGAGCTCCTGGCCAGCAGCCCCCCTGACCACAGTGAGTGGGGGCGGGGGGGCAGGGGACAGCGCTGGCTTATGGGGGGAGGGTACCCCACTGCCCTTCAGAATCACCCTACAAGGTGGCCTCCTGTCTGTGGTTCATGTTTGCGTTTGAAGCTAATAATCAAGGACCTTCCAGTTCCTGAGGGTAACAGAAGCCCCCCAGAGCAGCGTGAGGGAGCAGGGAAGGCCTCCCTCCTGGGCCAGCGTGGAGGCCTGCGTGCAGGGGGGGGACCCCAGCCCCAGCACTCACGTGCGCCAGGGGCTCCCCGGCTCGCGCCCCTGGGGTGGGACCCTGACAAGGAGACGGCTGCCAGGGCGGCGCCCCCCCCCCCCC